GAAGTTTGAAGAATCTTAGGGACATTTGGTGTTTTACTCTTGAAGAAATTGAAAAAATCTCTCGGATACCCGGTGTTATATTTTTGAAAAACTTGAAGAATCTTAGGGACCACCAGTGTTATATTTTTGCAAGCGTTTTATGTGGTGTTTTATTTTTAAAGACTTGAGTAATCTCAGGCGTATCAGGTGTTTCATTCTTAAAGGAATTTAGAAAATCTCACGGGCTCACGGGCTCCCATGTTTTACTTTAGAAGAAATTTAAAGAATCTCTGGGATACACGGTGTTGTTTATTTTTGAGAAAACTTGAGGAATCCCACGGACACCCGATGTTTTTTTTTTTGAAGAAAATTTAGAAATCTCAGGGGCACTTGATGTTTTGTTTTTCAAGAAGTTTTAGGAATCTCATGGGCACTCGGTGTTTTATTTTTGAGGAAGTTTGAAGAATCTTAGGGGCATCTGGTGTCTTACTTCTGAAGAAATTAAAAACATCTCTCGGGTATCCGGTGTCATATTTTTGAAGGAACTTGAAGAATCTCAGTGTTTTATTTTTTTGAAGAAAATTAAAGAATCTCTGAGATACCCGCTGTTATATTTTTGAAGAAGCTTAGAGAATCTTAGGGACCACCAATGTTATATTTTTGCTAGCGTTTTATGTGGTGTTTTATTTTTAAAGACTTTATCTCAGGCGTATTAGGTGTTTCATTCTTAAAGGAATTCGGAAAATCTCACGGGCTCCCGATGTGTTATTTTTGAAAGAAATTTGAAGAATCTCAGGAGAACCCGGTGTTATATTTTTGAAAAAATTTTAGGAATCTTATGCGCGCCCGATGGTTTATTTTTAAAGACAATTTAGGAATCTCAGGGGCACCTGGTGTTTTATTTTTGAAGAAGTTTTAGGAATCTCACGGCCACTCCACGCTTCGATTGTGAAGAAAATTTAGGAATCTCATAGCACTTGGTGTTTTATTTTTAAAGAAGTTTTAGGAATGTTAGGACACTCGGTGTTTTATTGTTGAGAATGTTTGAAGAATCTTAGGGGCATTTGGTGTTTTACTTTTGAAAAAATTTCCAGAATGTTTAGGGTACACAGCGTTATGTTTTTGAAGAAACTTTAGGAATATCATGAGCACCCGATGTTTTATTTTTGAAGAAAATTTAGGAACCTAAGGGACACCTGGTGTAAGAAGTTTTAAGAATCTCAGGGGTACTCGGTGTTTTATTTTTGAAGAAATGTAAACAATCTGTGAGATACCGGGTGTTATATTTTTGAAGAAGCTTAAAGAATATCAAGGATTTTTTAAGAAAATTTAGGAATCTCAAGGGCACCTGGTGTTTTATTTTTGAAGAAGTTTTAGGAATCTCACGGGCACTCCATGTTTCGTTTTTGAAGAAAATTTAGGAATCTCATAGCACTTGGTGTTTTATTTTTAAAGAAGTTTGAGGAATCTTAAGGCACTCGGTGTTTTATTTTTGAGAAAGTTTGAAGAATCTTAGGGGCATTTGGTGTTTTACTTTTGAAAACATTTCAAGAATTTTTAGGGTATCCAGTGTTGTTTTTGAAGAAACTTTAGGAATCTCACAGACATCCGATGTTTTATTTTTGAAGAGAATTTACGAATCTCGGGCACCTGGTGTTTTACTTTTGAAGAAATTAAAAAAATCTCTCTGATACTCGGTGTTATATTTTTGAAAGAACTTGAAGAATCTTAGGGACCACCAATGTTATATTTTTGCAAGCGTTTTATGTGGTGTTTTATTTTTAAAGACTTAAGTAATCTCAAACGTATCAGGTGTTTCATTCTTAAAGAAATTTAGAAAATCTCACAGGCTTCCGATGTTTTATTTTTGAAAGAAATTTGAAGAATCTCTGGGATAACCGGAATTATATTTTTGACTAGTTTAAAAAATCTCACATGTTTTATTTTTTATGAAGTTTGGACAATATTAGTGGACTCCGGTGTTTTATTTTTGAGAGAAATTTGATAAATTTTTGAAATAACTGGTGTTTTATTTTGTAGGAATTTAAAAAATTCCATAGCCTTCCGGCATTTTAGTTGAGAATTTAGTTCTAGGGCAACCGGTGTTTTATTTTTAAAGAAATTTGAAGAATTTCGGAAATATCAGGTGGTTTATTTTTAAAGGAATTTAGAGAATCTAACGGGCACCCGATGTTTTATTTTTGAAAGAAATTTAAGTTTTAAGTATATCCATGGTACATGGTGTTTTATTTCTGAAGAGGTTTGATGAGTCCCAGGGGAATTGGTGTTTGATTTTTGAAGAAGCTTTAGGAATCTCAAGGGCACCCGATGTTTTATTTTTGAGGAAGTTTAAAGATTTTCGGGAGCATCCCATGTTTTACTTTTGAAGAAATTTAAAGAATCTCTGGGATATACGGTGTTGTTTATTTTTGAGAAAACTTGAGGAATCTCAGGAACACCCGGTGTTATATTTTTGAAAAAGCTTTAGGAATCTCATGCGCGCCCGACGTTTTATTTCTAAAGACAATTTAGAAATCTCAGGGGCACCTGGTGTTTTATTTTTGAAGAAGTTTTAGGAATCTCACGGGCATTCCACGCTTCGATTGTGAAGAAAATTTAGGAATCTCATAGCACTTGGTGTTTTACTTTTGAAAAAATTTCCAGAATTTTTACGGTACCCAGTGTTATGTTTTTGAAGAAGCTTTAGGAATCTCATGAGCACCCGATGTTTTATTTTTGAAGAAAATTTAGAAATGTAAGGGACACCTGGTGTAAGAAGATTTAAGAATCTCAGGGGTACTCGGTGTTTTATTTTTGAAGAAATTTAAACAATTTCTGAGATACCCGGTGTTATATTTTTGAAGAAGCTTAAAGATTTTCAAGGATTTTTGAAGAAACTTTAGGAATCTCAGGGACACTCGGTGATTTATTTTTGAAGAAGTTTTAGAAATCCCAGGGGAGCTCGATGTTTTATTTTTGAAGAAGGTTGAAGAATCTCAGGAGAACCCGGTGTTATAGTTTTGAAAAAGCTTTAGGAATCTCATGCGCACCCGATGGTTTATTTTTAAAGACAATTTAGAATCTCAAGGGCACCTGGTGTTTTATTTTTGAAGAAGTTTTAGGAATTTCACGGGCACCCCATGTTTCTCGTTTTTGAAGAAAATTTAGGAAACTCATAGCACTTGGTGCTTTATTTTTGACGAAGTTTTAGGAGTCTTAGGGCACTTGGTGTTTTATTTTTGAGAAAGTTTGAAGAATCTCAGGGGCATTTGGTGTTTTACTTTTGAAAAAATTTCAAGAATTTTTAGTGTACCTAGTGTTATGTTTTTGAAGAAGATTTAGGAATCTCATGAGCCCCGATGTTTTATTTTTGAAGAAAATGTAGGAATCTAAGGGACACCTGATGCAAGAAGTTTTAAGAATCTCAGGGGTACTCTGTGTTTTATTTTGAAGAAATTTAAACAATCTCTGAGATACCCGGTGTTATATTTTTGAAGAAGCTTAAAGAATCTCAAGGATTTTTGAAGAAAATTTAGGAATCTCAGGGACACTCGTTGTTTTATTTTTGAAGTAGTTTTAGAAATCCCAGGGGCGCTCGGTGTTTTATTTTTGAAGAAGTTTGAAGAATCTTAGAGGCATCTGGTGTCTTACTTCTGAAGAAATTAAAAACATCTCTCGGATACCCGGTGTTATACTTTTGAAGGAACTTGAAGAATCTCAGTGTTTTATTTTTTTTGAAGAAATTTAAAGAATCTCTTTGATACCCGCCGTTATTTTTTTGTTAGAGACCACCAATGTTATATTTTTCCAAGCGTTTTATGTGGTGTTTTATTTTTAAAGACTTGAGTAATCTCAGGCGTATCAGGTGTTTCATTTTTAAAGGAATTTAGAAAATCTCACGGGCTCCCGATGTTTTATTTTTGAAAGAAATTTGAAGAATCTTTGGGATAACCGGAATTATACTTTTGAACCAGCTTAAAAAAGTTCACATGTTTTATTTTTGATGAAGTTTGAACTATATTAGAGATCTCAGGTGTTTTATTTTTGAGAGAAATTTGAAAAATTTTTGAGATAACTGGTGTTTTATTTTGAAGGAATTTAAAAAATTCCATAGGTTCCCAGCATTTTATTTTTGAAAGAATTTAGTTATAGGGCAACCGGTCTTTTATTTTTAAAGAAATTTGAAGAATTTCGGAAATACCAGTTGGTTTATTTTTAAAGGAATTTAGAGAATCTAACGGGCTCCCGATGTTTTATTTTTGAAAGAAATTTAAAGAATTTTTGGGATACCAGACGTTATATATTTTAGTTTTAGGTATACATATCCGTGGTACATAGTGTTTTATTTCTGAAGAGGTTTGAAGAGTCCCAGGGGAATTGGTGTTTTATTTTTGAATAAGCTTTAGGAATCTCACGGACACTCGATGTTTTTTTTTAGATTTGCTTTTAATTGAAAACCTTCGGGGGGGGGGGGGGGGGCAAATGTATATATTTGAGAATGTAAAACCTTCTCAGGAGCCCTTAATATCTTTTTTTAATGTGAAACCTTCTCGGGGGTCCCCAGTGTCTTTTTTAAAAATGAAACACCTTCTCGGGGGCGTCAGATATCTTTTTTTTTTAAGTGGAACCTTCTCGGGTGCCTAAAGTATCTTTTTTTACTAAGGTGAAACCTTTTTTTCCTATTACACCTTGACTAGTATCTTCCACATTGTTTTTACTCCATAGAGGTTAGCACGAAAAAGTAAAATTCCGCAAAATCAAATTTTATCATTTTTCAGAGAAGCTGTATTTGTTGGACTCTACTTCAGAAGCGAGGGAAGTTCTGTCAAAACAACTTTCGACCAATTTTTAATTACGAGGTTCAAAGTTCGCGCCGAAACGTTTCACACTCTCGCGCCTTTATTCCTCACCACTGATTAAACAAAATACACAACAAATCCCGCTCTCAAACCCCGGAAATTAAAGCCGACGTGTCATCGCTGTCACTTCCGCTACAATAAATTTTCGAAAGCTATTTTTACCTCGGATCGATGTCCTCTTAAATTGTAATTCGTTCGAAGTGGAAAATCAACGTTCTTTTTACAATGCGAAGTAGTGAACGTCACCCCTACAATGCCCCTCACGTTGCCTGTGGCGAGCCAGCCTTCTTGGTAATAATTCGTGCGGTTGAGCTTCCATCCCTCGTCCTGGAAAAAAAAGACCTGAAATCAATAGCGAAAACGGGGCATTTGTGTCACTGATTACAAGTATTGGGTGCTCGCTTAGCTCGCTCGACTGTGTACTGACGGCTAGATGGCGCCCACTCTCAACCCGGAAGTGACCAATCCGACGTCAATTTCGATTCCTAGCGGTAATTGCCGAGGCGTGGCGCCGATTTGTAATTTCCGCCAGGGATAATTAAAGCCCGATTAGTCCAGAGTTTATCACCAGAAGGTGAAAATTCGCAGTACCGAGTTGAAACTTCGTTAAGAGGGGCCAGTTTTAGCACTTTAGGAATGTCCATTCGAAAGGCCCGAGAGGCGCTGTCCCCGGTGGTGAGTTACTGAAAGAACTGCTCAAGTTCGTTGTTTGTTATTGAGCTCAATTTATTTATAATAAATGAGTAAGGCGGAGGCATTTTTTTCTCGCAATTCCCTAGTATGATATTACACTGTGTGTTTTTTTATTAAATATGTATGCAAGTACGAATACTCCCCGAATGTAATCTAGGAAAGTGTGTAATAAGTTCCATTTCACAAATGTGTACTGCGAAATTCAGTTTACAATTATTATGATGTGAACAGCAAGGTATTTAAAAAATGTTTTGAAAATTTCATGACGTTGTCTACAATTTTGCTGAATAAATATTAAGGAAAAAGAACAAAATAGAAGTCCCGCCCACCCACCCCTATCTCAATTGTGGTGATTTTTTTTATTTGCCGTGATATTAGGGGCGGAGCTTAACTGCAAAATCTTTATTTCTCTACAACAAATTACCATGTCAAACATGTTTTGTTGTTGTTGACATAGTAAGGGAGGGGGTTACACAGCCTCCTTTTACTCAAAATAGTCTCTGTTTTGGTGAAAAATTCATCAGAACTGAGATCAGGGCGGGTGGGTGGGGGTTTATTTCTGTTTTTTTTTAAACATGTTTCAGATGGTAATTTTTTGTAGAGAAATAAGGATTTTGCAATTAAACTCCGCCCCCTGGCTCACGACGAATAAAAAAAAATCGTTGCAATTGAGACGACGGTGGGTGGGCGGGGCTTAAATTTTGCCGTTCTTTCTGAATAGATGTAGTCTTCTTTTCACAAGATATTTAAAACTTGTTTAAGAAAGTTTTTCAAGTTTTTTCGATTTTCCATAATCTCGATTTTTCAGTTTTGCGATTTTTCAATTTCTCGATTTTTTAATTTCAGGGTTTCCCGATTTCCCCATTTTTCAATTTCTCGATTTTTTTTACTTTCGATTTTTCAATTTCTCGGTTTTTTGATTTTTTAGTTTTTCAAAATTTTTCGAATTTTTTATTTCTCCGCTTTTAATTTCTCAATTTTTAAATTTCGATTTCTAGGTTTTTCAGTTTTTCTGTTGATTTCTTCATTCACCAGTTTTCGTTTCTTCGACTTTTCAATTTTTCAACTTTTCGATTTCTAAATTTTTTGAGATTTCGATTTTTCCCATTCCTCGGTTTCTCAGTTTTTCGGTTTCTCCATTTATCAGTTTCTCTATTTTTCGACTTTCGATTTTTCAATTTTTCGATGTCTTAATTTTTCGACTTCTTGATTTCAAAATTTTTCGAATTTTCGATTTCTCCGCCTTTGGTTTCTCAATTTTTTAACTTCGATTTGTCGACTTTTCGATTCCGCAAATTTTGTTTTTTCTGTTTTGACATTTCGATTTTTTTGATTGTGCTTTTTTTGGAATTTTTCGTTGTTGGATTTTTCAATTTTTCTATGTTCGGATTTTTCGGTTTTTCCATTATACAATTTTTCCTATTTTTCGATTTTCGATTTTTCAATTATTCTATTTCTCAATTTTTCAACTTCTTGATTTCTAAATTTTTCGATTTTTCGTTTTCTCAATTTTTCAATTCTGCGATTTTCCAATTTTTCGAATTTTCGATTTCTCCGCTTTTGGTTTTCAATTTTTCATCTTCGATTTCCCGATTATTTGATTATTCAATTTTCTATTAATTTTTTCGATTTTTCGAGTTTTCGATTTCTCAGTTTTTCGAGTTCTAGATTTTTCTACAAGAAACTTAAAACAGTTTTTTGTTTCTTCGACTCTTCAATTTTCGACTTTTCGATTTTTTGATTTATGAATTTTTTGAGTTTTCTATTTCTACATTTTTCGACATTTTTTGGATTTTTCTATTTTTAATTTTGCTATTTTGGATTTTTCGACTTCTTGATTTCTAGATTTTTAAGATTTTAGATTCCTCCGCTTTTGTTTCTCAATTTTTTGACTTCGATTTCTCGATTTTCAATTTTTATATTTATTTTTCCAATTTTTCGATTTCTGAATTTTTCGACTTCTCGACTTCTAGATTTTTCTAAATATAAACTTGAAATAGTTTTTCGTTTCTTCGATTTTTTGAATTTTCGATTTCTGAATTTTTTGACTTTTGTTTTTCTAAATTTTTCGACATTTCGATTTTTTCGATTTCTCGATTTTTCAATTTTACTATTTTTGTATTTTTGAATTTTTTGTTCTTGGATTTTTTGAATTTTTCAATTTTTGGATTTTTCGGTTTTTCCATTTTTAGATTTTTTTCAATAATGTGACATTTCGATTTTTTCGATTTACTTGGTTTCTCAGTTTTTCGGTTTCTCCATTTTACAATTTCCCTATTTTTCGACTTTCGATTTTTCAAATTTTCGATTTCTCGATTTTTCGACTTCTTCATTTCTAAATTTTTCGAATTTTCGTTTTTTCAATTTTTCAACTTAGATTTCCCGATTTTCCAATTTTTCGATTTTTCAATTTTTGGGTTTCCCGATTTCCCCATTTTTCAAATTTTTGATTTTTCAATTTTTCGATGTCTCAATTTTTCGCCCTGATTTCTAGATTTTTCGAATTTTCGTTTTCTCAATTTTCAACTTCGATTTCTCAACTTTCCAATTTTTCGATTTTTCAGTTTTTGTGTTTCCCGATTTCCCCATTTTTCAATTTCTCGATTTTTCAATTTTTCGATGTCTCAATTTTTCGTCTTCTTGATTTCTAAATTTCGCAGATTTTTGATTTCTCCGCTTCTGGTTTCTCAATTTTTCAACTTCGATTTGCCGATTTTTCAATTTTGTGATTTTCCAGTTCTTCGATTTTTCCATTTCTGGATTTCTCGATTTCCCCACTTTTCAATTTCTCGATTTTTCTTCTTTTGATTTTTCCAATTTCTCGGTTTTTCGATTTTTCAATTTTTCGTTGTCTCAATTTTTCGAATTCTTGATTTCTAAAATTTATCGAATTTTCGTTTTCTCTGATTTTGGTTTCTCAATTTTTCAACTTCGTTTTCTCGATTTTTCTATTCATTTTTTCGATTTCTCAATTTTTCGACTTCTCGACTTCTAGATTTTTCCAAAAAGAAACTTAAAACAGTTTTTCATTTCTTCGACTTTTCAATTTTTCGACTTTCCAATTATAAATTTTTCGACATTTCGGCTTTTTCGATTTCCCGATTTTTCAATTTTGCTATTTTTGAATTTTTCATTGTTGGATTTTTCAATTTCTCATTGTTTTCAGTTTTTCGAGTTTTAGATTTTTTCAATAATTCGACATCTCAATTTTTTCGATTCCTGGGTTACTCACTTTCCCGATTTCTCAATTTTTCGACTTTCGATTTTTCAGTTCTTCGGTTTTTCGATTTTTCAATTTTTCGACTTCTTGATTTCCAGATTTTTCGACTTTTCGATTTCTCGGTTATTCGAATTCTCAATTTTCCCACATTTTGATTTTTCGTTTTCTCAATTTTTCAACTTTGATTTCTCGATTTTTCAATTTTGTGATTTTTTAATTTTTTTGTTCTTCATTTTTTCGATTTTCCGACTTTTCGATTTCTCAATTTTTCGACTTGTTTAAAATGGTAACTTTTTGTAGGGAAATATGGTGGATTTTGCAACTACGCTCCACCCCTCGGTCTGACAACGAATGAAAAATTCATCACAAACGCGACTGGGGCGGGTGGGTGGGGTTATTTTTTGACTCTTTTTTCTTAACATTTACAGTTATCATTCAAAAACACGATACTTATAACATTTATTCCAGAGAAAGAAGGATTTTGCAATTAAGCGCCGCCCCTCGGCTCACGACGAATAAAAAAGAAGCATCACACTTGAGATAGGACGTGTGGGCGGGCGGCGGGGCTTATACATATTTTAGTTTTTTTTTTTTCTTAATACACGTAGCCTTCTTTTCACGACAAGAAACTTAAAAACATGTTTAAAATGGTCTATTTTTGTAGGGAAATGCGGATTTTGTAATTACGCTCCGCCCCTCGGTCTAAAACGAATGAAAAATTCGTCACAAATGAGACTGGTGCGGGTGGGTGGAGCTTAATTTTTGGCTTTTTTTTTTCTTAATTTTTAAATACTTAAAACGTGCAAATTTTGCGATTAAGCTCCGCCCTCCAGCTCACGACGAATAGAAAAATCGTTACAACTGATACGTGGGTGGGTGGGCGGGGCATATATTTTACCTTTGCTTGCTGAATATATGTAGTCTTTTTTTCACAATAAAATATTTAATACTTATTTAAAATGGAAATGAACAATTCATAACAATTGAGGTGATTTTTTATGCGTCGTGAACCAAAAGGGCGGAGTTTATTTACAAAATTCTTATTTCTCTATAATAAATTACTATCTAATAAGCTGATTACAAAATATTGCCATAATTTTGTTTCTTTGATCTCCACAACAACGAATTTTTAAGTGGTTCGAAAAAGTGAGGTTATTAAATGCGGCTAGAACCCCCACTATTTACTCAGCCGGCGCACACTTATTTATGTTTCATTTCCAGAACACAGACGTCTCCCCATTAATTCCAATCAATTAACCCCCATTTTGCTCGACTGCCTCCCAGGAAACAAGTTCATTCCGATTTCCCCATTTTTCAATTTTTCGATTTTTCGACTTTCGATTTTTCAATTTCTCGGTTTTTCAATTTTTCGATTTTTCAAAATTTTTCGAATTCTCGATTTCTCCGCCTTTGGTTTTTCAATTTTTCAACTTCGATTTCCACATTTTTTGAATATTCAATTTTCTATTAATTGTTTCGATTTTTCGACTTTTCGATTTCTCAGTTTTTCGATTTTTCTACACAAATCTTAAAACGGCTTTTCGTTTCTTTAACTTTTCAATTTTTGATTTTTCAATTTTTCGACTTTTCGATTTTTTGATATCTGAATTTTTTTACTTTTCTATATCTAAATTTTTAGACATTCCGATTTTTTGGATTTTTCGTGTTTCAATTTTGCTATTTTGGAATTTTTCGTTGCTGGATTTTTCAATTTTTCAATTTTTTGATTTTTCGGTTTTTCCTTTTTCAGATTTTTTTCAATAATTTGACATTTCGATTTTTTCGATTTACTTGGTTTCTCAGTTTTTCGGTTTCTCCATTTTACAATTTCCGTATTTTTAGACTTTTGCTTTTTCAAATTTTCGATTTCTCAATTTTTCGACTTCTTCATTTCTAGATTTTTCGAATTTTCGTTTTCTCAATTTTTCAACTTCGATTTCTAAATTTTCCAATTTTTCGACTTTTCAATTTTTGGGTTTCCCGATTTCCCCATTTTTCAATTTTTCGATGTCTCAATTTTTCGTCTTCTTGATTTCTAAATTTTTCAGATTTTTTATTTCTCCACTTCTGGTTTCTCAATTTTTCAACTTCGATTAGTCGATTTTTCAACTTCGATTTCCAGATTTTTCGATTTTGTGATTTTCCAGTTCTTTCATTTTTCCATTTCTGGATTTCTCGATTTCCCCACTTTTAAATTTCTCAATTTTTCGTCTTTCGATTTTTCCAATTTCTCGGTTTTTCGATTTTTCAATTTTTCGTCTTCTTGATTTCTAAATTTTTCAGATTTTTTATTTTTCCGCTTCTGGTTTCTCAATTTTTCAACTTCGATTTCTCGATTTTTCAACTTCGATTTCCCGATTTTCCAATTTTTCGATTTTTCAAATTTTGGATTTCCCGATTTCCTCATTTTTCAGTTTCTCGATTTTCCGACTATCGATTTTTCAATTTTTTGATGTCTCAATTTTTCGTCTTCTTGCTTTCAAAATTTTTCGAATTTTCGATTTCTCTGCCTTTGGTTTCTCAATTTTTCAACTTCAATTCGTCGATTTTTCTTTTTTTCAATTTTTCTATTCATGTTTTCGATTTTTTCGACTTCCCGATTTTTCAATTTTGCTATTTTTGAATTTTTCGTTGTTGGATTTTTCAATTTTTGAATTTTTGGATTTTTCGGTTTTTCCATTTTTAGACTTTTTTCAATAATTCAACATTTCAATTTTTTCGATTTACTAGTTTCTCAGTTTTTCAGTTTCTCCATTTTACAATTTCCCTATTTTTCGACTTTCGATTTTTCAAATTTTCGATTTCTCAATTTTTCGCTTTCTTGATTTCTAGATTTTTCGAATTTTCGTTTTCTCAATTTTCAACTTCCATTTCTCGATTTTCCAATTTTTCGATTTTTCAATTTTTGGGTTTCCCGATTTCCCCATTTCTCAATTTCCTGATTTTTCAATTTTTCGATGTCTCAATTTTTCGTCTTCTTGATTTCTAAATTTTGCAGATTTGTAATTTCTCCGCTTCTGGTTTCTCAATTTTTCTACTTCGATTCCCCGATTTTTCAATTTTGTGATTTTCCAGTTCTTCGATTTTTCCATTTCTGGATTTCTCGATTTCCCCATTTTTCAATTTCTCGATTTTTCGTCTTTCGATTTATCAATTTCTCGGTTTTTCGATTTTTCAATTTTTCGTTGTCTCAGTTTTTCGACTTCTTGATTTCTAAATTTATCGAATTTTCGATGCTTTTGGTTTCTCAATTTTTCAACTTCGCTTTTTCGATTTTTCTATTCATTTTTTCGATTTCTCAATTTTTTGACTTCTCGACTTCTAGATTTTTCCAAAAAGAAACCTAAACAGTTTTTCATTTCTTCGACTTTTCAATTTTTCGACTTTTTGATTTTTTGACTTTTCCATTCATAAATTTTTCGACTTTTCGGTTTTTTCGATTTCTCGATTTTTCAATTTTGCTCTTTTTGAATTTTTCGTTGTTGGATTTTTCAATTTTTGAATTTTTGGATTTTTCGGTTTTTCCATTTTTAGACTTTTTTCAATAATTCAACATTTCAATTTTTTCGATTTACTAGTTTCTCAGTTTTTCAGTTTCTCCATTTTACAATTTCCGTATTTTTCGACTTTCGATTTTTCAAATTTTCGATTTCTCAATTTTTCGCCTTCTTGATTTCTAGATTTTTCGAATTTTCGTTTTCTCAATTTTCAACTTCCATTTTTTCGATTTTTCAATTTTTGGGTTTCCCGATTTCCCCATTTTTCAATTTCCCGATTTTTCCATTTTTCGATGTCTCAATTTTTCGTTTTCTTGATTTCTAAATTTCGCAGATTTTTGATTTTTGTTTTTCAGTTTTTTGATTTTTACATTTTTTTCAATAATTCGACATTTCGATTTTTTCGATTCCTGGGTTACTCACTTTCCCGATTTCTCAATTTTTCGACTTCTCGATATTGCGATTTTTCAGTTTTTCGATTTTTCAATTTCTGGGTTTCCCGATTTCCTCATTTTTCAATTTTTCGATTTTTCGATTATCAATTTTCCAGTTTTTCGAAGAATTAATTTTTCGACTTCTTGATTTTTAAATTTCTTGATTTTCCGACTTTCCATTTTTCAGTTCCTCGGTTTTTAGACTTTCCAAGTTTTCGACTTCTTGATTTCCAGATTTTTCGACTTTTCGATTTCTCGGTTACTCGAATTCTCAATTTTCCCAAATTTTGATTTTTCCTTTTCTCAATTTTTCAACTTCGATTTCTCGATTTTTCAATTTTGTGATTTTTGGGTTTTGTGATTTTTTAATTTTTCTGTTCTTCATTTTTTCGATTTTCCGACTTTCCGATTTTTCAATTTTTCGACTTGTTTAAAATGGTAAATTTTTGTAAGAAAATATGGATTTTGCAATTACGCTCCACCCCTCAGTCTGACAACGAATGAAAAATTCATCACAAACGCGACTGGGGCGGGTGGGCGGGGCTTATTTTTTGACTCTTTTTTTCTTAACATTTACAGTTATCTTTCAAAAACACGATACTTATAACATTTATTCCAGAGAAAGACGGATTTTGCAATTAAGCGCCGCCCCCCGGCTCACGACGAATAAAAAAGCCATTACAACTGATACGCGGGTGGGTGGGCGGGGCATATGTTTTACCTTTTCTTGAATGTGTGTAGTCTTTTTTTCATGATAAAATATTTGATACTTATTTAAAAAATGGTAAATTTTTGTAGAGAAATATCGATTTTACAATTAAGCTCCACCCCTCGGTCGGACAACAAATGAACATTCATAACAATTGAGGTGATCTTCTTATTCGTCGTGAACCAAGGGGGCGGAGCTTATTTACAAATTCCTTATTTATTGACATAATGTTGTTTCTTTGATTTCCACAACAACGAATTTTTAAGTGGTTCGAAAAAGTGAGGCTAGAACCCCCACTATATACCCACCCGCGCACACTTATTTATGTTTCATTTCCAGAACACAGACGTCTCTCCATTAATTCCAATCAATTAACCCCATTTTGCTCGACTGCCTCCCAGGAAACAGCTCATTCCGTCGAATTCCGCCAACCCGAACCAATTATCAACCCCGAAAAGATGCTCCAGGCCCCCATAAATTGGCCGCTTTTTCCCGTCCCGTTTTACATGACAAAGGAGTGCAGCGAAAATAAACACATTACTCGCTGCAGCGCGGGTAAAAATCGATGTCCGATGGACGGCTGCTTAATTAGGGGTGGCTTAGTTCACCTAGCGGGCGCCGCCACGTGTCGCGGACGTCTACCGCCTCTGAAAAATGAATGCGACCCTCGTCAAGCGTGAATTTTTCAAGAACTGAAATAGATAAATTGGCGACCCAATTTTAACACTTCATTGCGTATGAAAATTCCATCGGACGTGAAAAGCCGGGAAAACGGGTAATGAAGACGTCGCGGGTTTTCCGAGATCAAAGGCACTTATTACATTAGAAAAACGGCTCATTAGAGCAAATGGAGTCGGGTTTGGCGCGTAAGAGTCTGATCAGTTCGAGTAGAGAAATTGTGGCGCTGACGTCACGCTCGTGGCGCCAAATTCAAAATTCGCTCATTACGCACCGCGTTAAAAACCCGTGTGTCACACTTTAACACAGTCGAAAGGGTGCAAAACCGTCACACCCCACGTCTCATCGACTTTTAATGGACAGATCGCCACACTAGAATTTAATCGCGTTATAACCCTCCCCCGAAACAAAGATCCTCGTCCTTTGTCACCCACACAATAATGAAATTTTTATCACACAACCGCGCCTCGCGCTCCAACCTAATAACGCCGCAAGTATAAACCGGCGAATAAACTTGTTATTGTTATGGAGGCTGGCTTAATCAAATCCGGGGGGGGTGGGGGCGGCGATGATTGATTGTGTATTATGACAAGTGTAAATACGACCCTAATTCGGGCATTAGCGTGGGCGCCCGAGGCGATTTGTTTACCTTTAAGACGGAAGACGACCCGATAACGCAAGCAAACGCGGGTAAACGGCACTCTGTTGGGCATTACCTCTGGCAGCTCGTCGGGCACCTTCCCCATCCAGGTGAGCGAGAGGATCGAGCAGTCGCTTTTGGCGTTGACCGTCCTCTCGAAGTGCAGGTGCATGTTGCCTGCCCAGTCACATGTTCGGGGGCGAAGACCGAGGGGGCTCGAGTTCACGTGCGGTTACCACTATCGATTCAAGCGTCGATAAACATATGGGTGCAGAAACGTCTGCACCTCGACATCTCAAGACTTATATTGATTCGGATTTTCGGGGTAAAATCGCCGGAATAAGCGAGCTTTCAGCGGTGGCGCATTTTACAGCGGGGTGGAGCGCGTGCGCGCGGACTTGGCTGATTGGGGGCTATTAAAAACTATTTTCGAGGGGTGGGATGGAGGGGTTTTGGGTTTTGAGTTAGGGGGTGGTGGGTTTGTTTATTTTTAATTGGGTCGGGGAGGGTTGGTAGAGAGGAATGTTTGTTTTGTTTTGTGTTGTATTTTTATTAGACACGTAATTTTAAAAACTACTGAATTGTTGCCAAATTTTGTGCGTATATTTGAGATATTATGTAGATGGTAAAACGATAACCAAAATGTGGCTAATCATCCCCACCAACAATTTATTGACGTCATTTCAAAGAATTCTATTTTAAAATGATTTAACTGCTGTATAATAATATATTTCTATTCTTGTGGTGTATGAATCCACTTTTTTCCCTAAATGTCAAGATTTTCGTGGATTATTCAAATTTTCGAATTTTCATTGTTTTATTCTTCAACTACTCGATTTTTCTATTCTTCGACTTTTCAATTTTTTAATCTCTCGATTTCTTGACTTTTCAAAAAATTGAACAAATCGAATAACTAAACAATCGAAAATTTGAAGAACCAAAAAATTGAAAAACCGAAAATCCCAAAGATCGATATTTATAGGAAAAGCAAAAATTAAAAACCGAGACAAATACAATTTACAATTTCTCGATGTTTGAATATTTTTTAATTAATTGTATAATCGAAAAACTGAGAGAACCAAAAAAGTGAAAAATAGAAAATTTGGAAGATAGAGAAATCGAAAAATTGAGGACGAGAAGGTGAAAAATCGAAAAATCCAGAAATTGAAAATTCTCCAAATTTAGAATTTGAAAAATTTTCGGATTTTTCGATTTTTCAATGTATACATTTTTCAACTTTTGAATCAAAAAGGTGAAAAATCGAAAACTTGGCAGATAGAGAAATCGAAAAATTGAGGACGAGAAGGAGAAAAATCAGTAAGTCTAAAAATCGAAAAATCCAGAAATTGAAAATTCACCAAATTTGGAAATTGAAAAATTTTCGGATTTTTCGATTTTTCAATGTCTAGATTTTTCGACTTTTGAATCAAAAAGGTGAAAAATCGAAAACTTGGAAGATAGAGAAATCGAAAAATTGAGGACGAGAAGGAGAAAAATCGGAAAGTCTAAAAATCGAAAAATCCAGAAATAATTGAAAATTCTCCAAATTTGGAATTTGAAAAATTTTCGGATTTTTCGTTTTTTCAATGTCTAGATTTTTCGACTTTTGAATCAAAAAAGTGAAAAATCGAAAACTTGGAAGATAGAGAAATCGAAAAATTGAGGACGAGAAGGAGAAAAATCAGTAAGTCTAAAAATCGAAAAATCCAGAAATTGAAAATTCTCCAAATTTGGAATTTGAAAAATTTTCGGATTTTTCGTTTTTTCAATGTCTAGATTTTGCGACTTTTGAAAGATTAAAAAATATAAAAGTAGAAAAATCGTAAAATTGATAAATCGAAAAATCGAAAACCCGAAAAATCTAAGTCAAAAAATTCAAATATCGTGAAATCGACAAATCGAAAATTTGAAAAATGGAGAAATCGGGAAGTCGAGTAAATAAAAAAAATCGGAACTGAAAAAACCAAAAATCGAACAAGAAATCGCAATATCAAAAAACCGAAAAGTCGAAAGATCAAGTAATTGAAAGATTAAAATATAGATAAATCGCAAATTAGAAAAATCGAGAAACAGAACAATAAAAAAGTTGAAAATTTGAGAAATTAAGAGTTCCAAAAATTGAAAAATCGAAAATTTGTGTAAAATTAAAAAACCAAGACAACAAATACTAATTGAACAATCGAAACAGTGATAAATAGATAAATTGAAAATTTATATAATTGAAAAAGAGAGGAATGGGGAAATAAAAAATCGAAAAATCGGGAAACTGAAATATCGAAAAATTAAAAATTCGAGAAATTGACAAATCAAAAATTAAAAAATCAAAAAATCGAAAAAAAGCAGAAATCCTGAAATCAGAAAGTTGACAAATCGAAAAGAGCAGAAATTTTGAAACCGAAAAATTGAAAAATCGAAAATTTGTTTAATGGAAAAGCTGGGAAATGGAAAAATTGAAAACTTAAACAAGGAATAATTGAAGAATCGAGAAATTGAAAAATCTAAAAACTAAAAAACCGAGAAAATCAGAAATCATAAAATCGAAAGGTCAAAAAATTGCGAAATTGAAATACCGAAAAACTGAAAATTCGAGAAACTGAAAAGATCGGAAGATTGAAGACGAGAAAGAAAAAAAACGAAAAGTCGAAAAATGGAAAAATCCAGAAATTGGAAAACAGCAAAAATCAAAATCTGAAAAATCGCAAATTTCAGTTTCGTTTCAATACCCTGATTTTTTCTTTTTTTATGCGTTTTAATTTCGGGATTTTTGGTTTTTGGATTTTTCGACTTTTTGGACGATTGAAAGATATAAAAATTGAAAAATCGAGAAATTGACAAATCGGAAAATCGAGAAATGGAGATATCGAAAAGTCGAAAATTCGAGAAACTGTAAATCGGAAAAATTGAAAAATCGAAATTTCGAATAGTGGAAAAAATCGGGAAATAGTAAAATTAGAAAACCAAGTTACGAATAACTGAAAACCCGAAAAAGTGAAAAATCGATAAGTTAAAAATTCGAAAAGTTGAATAAAGCAGAAATTCTGAAATCAAAAATTTGAAAAATCGAAAAACCGAGAAATTAAAATATTGGAAAAATAAAATTTCGAGAAAGGGATCTAGGAAATGGGTTAATTAAAACACAATTGTCCTTAAAGTGCGTGTATTAAAAATGCGATCCGTTCGTTTTAAAAGCTTATTACGAACTAACTTTTAAGATCACAAATACGCATATATAAAATATAAACTGAAGTACTCAGCGTTTCTCGGGCGCCTTACATTTATCGCCCTTTATAAACAAATACTTAACAGTAAGCTAAACAGAGAAAATATGGGATATGGTCGTAATAATTTTTGCCTTGATTAATATATTGAATTACAACACTCCCACTCAAAAATTAAAACGACGAAGTAAATACAGGTATCTTGATTTGGTTACCAAGTATATAGCTTAAGATAATTATTCTTAACTACAAAAGCCTCCCTCTTGTAAGCCAATGTTATTTCTCATTGCTTCAAATTTTGCAACAGGTACCGCTTTGGTGAAGATGTCAGCTTGTTGTTCACCTGTGGAGACATATTTAATGGTTATGTTGCCTTTTTCAAGTTGCTCTCTCGTAAAATGATATTTAATATCTATATGTTTGACCTTTTGTGATTTGTGGGGTTATTTGCAATGTTTATGCACCCGGTGTTGTCTTCAAAAATGACAACTGGATTTAGAACCCTTTTTACCGATACTAGTTAACAAAGACTTAAGCCACATAGCTTCTTTTACACTTTCAAATAATGCTATGTATTCAGCTTCAGTTGATGAAACTGCAACTGTTTGTTGTTTTCTAGTATTCCAGGTTATAGTACAAGTAGTGAATAATTTGTAAAGATAGCCACTTGTACTTTTCCGGTCAATGTCATTGCTTCCCCAATCTGAATCCACATAGCCAATTAAAATATTATTAATGTCACCTTTTGTATATATTAATTCTAAATCAAGAGTTCCTTTGACATATCGTAATACCCTCTTTAAATATTGCCATAAAGTTTGATTATTTTGTTTGATATCGACTTAAGATGTTTACTACATATGACAAATCAGGACGTGTGCAAACCATTGCGTACATTAAACACCCAATCAGATTTTACAAGGTGCATTGTAACCTTCCTCTGAATTTAAGCCCACATAATCAATTTTTTCCGGCAAGGGCGTTTTAGTAGACTTGCAGTCACTCATATTAAATTTTTGTAACACACTGTTCAAGTAGGACTTTTGCTTTAAAGAAATTCTAGTGTTTTCCCTTTTAATTTCTATTCCTAAAAAGAATCGAACCTCACTTAGATCTCTCATTTCAAAACATGTCATGAGATATTTTTTACAGGAGAACATTGTGTGTTTGTCCTGTGTGGCAATTATTAAATCATCCACATATAGGAATACAATATAAATATTTTTACTAACGTGTCCTTTATTTAAGTAGTAAAGACAATGATCGACTGCTGAATTTTGAAAACCTTTTGCTTTAATTATGGAGTCAAAATGTTCAAACCACCGTCTTGACGCCTGTTTTAGACCATATAACGCTTTATTTAATTTGCACACCTGATTGTTTGCAGTTTTAACACCGTCCGGAACTTGCATATAAATTTCTTCATTTAATGTTCCGTTTAAGAAAGCCGTTTTTACGTCCATGTGATGGACTAACAAATTAAACTGACTGGCAGTTGCTAACAGTAGCCTGAAAGTGGAAATCCTTGCGACTGGTGCAAAAGTCTCTGTATAATCAGCTGGATAAGTTTGATTGAAACCCCGTGCTACCAGTCGCGCTTTGTACCTTTGTGGATTTCCCTGAACATCTGTTTTAATAGTAAAAATCCATTTACAGCTAACTATGTTTTTATTTAGAGGTTTAGGTACGATTGTCCAGGTATTATTTGCTCGAAGTGAATCCAATTCGTCTTTAATAGCAAGCTCCCACTGCTTCTTATCTGGCCTTGTTTTAATGTCGTCATATGTTAAGGGTAACGACCCTACTTCAGCTTGAGCTGATGCAGCGTAATTTAGGAGTTCATTATGATGACTTTCATCATATGATAGTGGTGGACGAATTTTTAACCGTTCACTTCTGCGTAATGAAATCTCTTGTTTTGGTTCCTCAGTTGATTTTATGACTTTTGGTGACTCACTTTTATTGATAGGAAGCTCATTGTGATTAGGAGATTTAAAACTTTCAAGATCTCCTTCTAGTTCTCTTGGTCTTGAGACTTTAAAATTTATTTCGTCCGCGACCACATCGCGAGCAATTATAAATTTT